TTCATTTCAAAACAGGATAGAGCCTCTGGCTCACTTTGAAACACGCTTCTGCTTGTTGTGGCTCTTCAAAAGGTGACAATGGTTTTGAAAAACACTTTAAAATAACTTTGTAGAAAACTGTTATAATTTAACGATAGTTATGTCTACGTAGATGCGAGACAATATCACTTAGCCTCGTTTTCAGCTCGCAATTCCATGCAAAATACTTCGCTTCGTTGACCAATGCGAGAATGCGAGATTCTATTTAATTATGCGATTCAATTGTGCACGATCAACGAGGTCTCACACTAGCGCATTTCAAAAGATTTTACTCAGCTAACCTTTGTTGTTGGTTTACTCCCTCTGTTTCTTAATTAACACTTGGGTGACCCAAACGGGGAAAAAATTTACCGGACTAAAATTAACATTAGAATATGATTATTCCGATTCAATCTTCACACATCCGCTATACTTCAAGGAGGTGGTGAAACTATTTCGGAAAGAGGAAACAGATGATTTTCTTACTCAAATAACTCTGTTTAATCCGAGGGCAACGTTGTCATCGTTTTAATTATTAATTCCTTAATTAATCCGCGTAAAAAAAACAAACTTTTTCATCGTCTTTATCCAGGCGCAGACCCAAGTGCAAAATGCGCCAATTATATTTACCGCAGAGGAAACTAAATCTTAAGCTAGATTTGCTTATAGTTGGGCGAAAATTTACTAATAGTATATAACAATGTGGAAAACTGTGAACGATTGCCTTCATAAGCGTCATGTTCTTCGAAGTCTTCAAAACTGAATTGTTAAACAACTGTGAAATTGAGACGCAGTCTCAGTCAGGCGGTCCGGCGGAAGGCATTGGAGGTAAGGTAGGCGGAAGGTAATGGAAGTATCGAATTTCAACATTGATCGGTCTTTCGTGGTTCAGAAGTTCTTATCAAGCTGTAATGGAATCTATGTATACTAACAATTTCTGGCCATTATGAAAGAATCTTTTCAACCGTCGTTCTGCTGAAAACATCACCTGTATGATTCAATTTTCGCAATGTAAACAAGCGCACTTGTTCATAAACAGAAGCTACGGTTCTGACATCTGTTTGAGATTTAATTTTGCAATGGTTTGACAATTCAGTTATGACGCTTGAAAAGTTGTGCCCATTGTTAAATATCGTCAGTAAATTTTTGCCCAACTATAAGCAAATGTAGCTTAAGATTTAGTTCCTCTGCGGTAAATTTTATTTTGCGCTTTTTAGACTTGTATCTGCGCCTGCATATACACAGTAAAAAAGAATATGTTTTCTTTACGCGGATTAATTAAGGAATTGATAACTAAAACCTCAGATTGAGGTCAGTTATAAGCTTAAGTTTTAGTTCCCTCCGCGGTAAATTTAATCGGCGCATTTTGCACTTAGGTTACCGTCAGATTGAAGTGAGTTACATGTTAAATAAAATTATCGGTTTCGTCTTTCCGAAATAAATTCACCACCTCTTTCATTTAAAAATTTCAATCAAATGTAAGAACCGTAGCTTCTCTTTATGAACAAGTGTGCTTGTTTACATGCGGAAGTTGAATCATACGGATAATATTTTCAGCACAACGACGGCTGAGAAGATTCCTATTTTAATGGCCAGACATTATTAGTATACGTTGATTCCATAATAGCTTGATAAGCACTTCGGAACCACGAAAGACCGATCAATGTTGAAATTTGATACCTTCGAAGATGATTCATGGATGAGAAGGGCGACGAATTGCTTTAACTTGGTTTAACTGGAAAGACTTAAACACTCATTGCAATTGCCAAAGACCAGCTGCCTAAGCTCTGATATACACTCGCATTTGAAACAATTTGTGGTAGTTTAGATTATGGGTGACTAAAAAAAAAGTAATCAATTATGAAAAACTTTTATCAGTTAGTTGCCTTACCTCTCGATACGCGTTAAAATCTCCGCGACACGTATAAACTGCTCTAAGGTTGAAGCGTGCGAAATCGTCAGTTTCCTGCCGGGGAACACCTTGATTTAAGTGAACGAATAGGCTCTTTACAGGACTTCATCACGTGCTTGGATACCACATGGCAACGCACTGCTGGGAGCAAGCAAACCACAGGCGGCCTAAGCTCCATCTGTATGATGATCATCTTGCGAAATTATAAGAATTTGAATGAGAATATTTACAACCGCTCTTAGAAATAAAAAAATACAGTCAAATTCTCAATTAAATACCTCACCTTACTTTCACAGAGCATCGCTTGCCATCTGACCACTTACTATGTTGAAAATAACCCATTTTAGCGAGTTATTAATTTCTAGGTTTGCTACATAAGAGAAGGACAAAGCTACAGACTCTATTTCCGAACGCCCGATACGAGAAGCGAAAAATCTAAGCTCAAAATGATCGGACGGCCACAAATCCAACGCAAAACCCAAGCACATATATTGTAATTTCATTTCAATTTACTACCAATTCAATCCTCACCGTGAAACCGACGATAAGCCAAAGTTTGCTTCCAAAATTTCCAGTTTAGACGTTTCTAACGATCCGCGCACACATTCACCAAGAAAATCGATTGTTGAAAACGAGCTTGGTAACCCTGCCTCCTTTGCATACTGAGCCTCGCCGGGGACCACATCATCACTTATCATCAACAAATTGTTTTAGAACCCCGGGTACAAAGTGACGGTGTGGTCCCTGACGAGATTCACTTAGCAAAGGAGGCAGGGTTACCAAGCTGGTTTACAATCGTGGTGAATGTGTACAGGTCGTTAGCGACGTCTAAACTGGAAATTTTGGAAGCAAACTTCGGTTTAGCGTCGGTTTCATGGGGAGGATTGAATTGGTAGTAAATTGAAATAAAACTACAGTGTACGTGCTTGGATTCTGCGTTGGATTTATGACTACCCGGTCATTTTGAGCTTGGATTTTTGGCTTTGCAGCCTTGTCTTTCTCTTAAGATTAGGAAACTTAGAAATGGATAACTCACTAAAATTGGTTCTTTCCAACATAGAAAGCGGTCAGACAACAAGCAATGCTGGACTCAACCAGGAGGAGGGTTGTCTATGGTTAATTCGCCCCATAGAAATTTGTCCTTACCGCCTTTCGCGTGTTTGCCCCCTAACGCAAAAAACAACGCCTTTACTAGTTTACCTTGAAATCTTTCGACTCGTTTCCTTACCGCAGAACGTAATCCAGCTCCAATGTAAATATTTACGGCCTCTAAGCAAACGATGGAAAGCTTCATTTTAATAAAGCTTCCCAAAAAAGTTCCTCATAGAGCTTTTCATCAATTTAATTTGCTTTAAAAAGCAAAATAGTGATATTGCTTAAACTCAGCTTGATTTTAAACCAATATTATGGCATTTAGACGCTTCTGAATTGTACACATCCGCTCAAACTTTTTGATCGAACCATTATAAAACGAAAATCACGTCTAGCCACGGTAATTTTAAAGGTAGTGTCTTCAATGGGGCACTTGTGGGGGAAAAACTCCTATGTCCAAAAGTTAAAACAGGTATTTAATTTCAAGAACCTAAGTTACGAGAAAACAAACACCCACCCCTGTTAAGACGCTCCATGTTTTACCTTCAGAGGTTGGAGATCTTGGTCACGAGGCCTTCACATGAGGCATCGTAAACACAGAGGACGCTGGTAAAAGCTTCTCTCATTTCAAAATTTCGCGGAAAACCTGGTAAAGTAGATAGGTGGTTAAAACCCAACGCTATCTTACACCATTCTATCTTAGTCCAACGTCTTAGCCAATGATCTACTCTCTCAGTTATTGGAGAGAAGAGTCCACATAGACACTATCGTTTACTCCACAATGCACAAGTTGCCTTTATTGTTTCTTTTTGAATGACTGACAATTAAATTGCCTTTCAGTTGGTGCAATACATTTAGATCTGCTAAATTTCCAACCACTATGATGGCAGGTGAAGATCTCAGGACGCTGTGTTGAGCTTTTTAAAGATCCCCTTAGAGCGTGAGATAATATGATTAAAATGAAAAGAGCACCTGGGTTTGATTCTAAACGCTACTAAGTTTAAAAATCAAAGAGCTAAAAGGGACGAGTTTAATACTTCTTCAAAAAATCATTGAAAAAAGTAACCCAAGATCTGTTGCTGTGTGCTGATCACTAGAACTTATATAAAAAAAATTTTTAAAAATTTCAATAACGCTATTACGTTAGGCATAATTGAGAACTAACTCCTACAACTTGAATACACATGAAATGTTTATAACCAATTAAGTTTTTAAATTCTACCGATTGCAGCCGGGTATGACGATAATTTCGAATTCCCAGCGAAAATTGAAAGAAACCCTAAGCTAGATAATTATTTCTTGAAAAGGCTAAGTAATGAAAGCATTCCATTCAGCTACATTTTCCGGTCCTTTTGGGGAGATCCCTGTTTCATGCGCAGTAGTTTATCCAGGACGTCTTGTGTATGTGGCAGCGCTTTCTCCAAAGCGAGGGACTGTTTCCTACACAGGATGCGCTTGTCCCGGATGTCCTTCCTTTCTTCCAAGAACTCAACCAAGTTTTCTTTCTCCAAAGCGCGGTCAAGATCGTCCACTAACTGTGATACGAAGAAATGCAGGATGCAGCGGGGGACTGTGTCACACACATTCATTTTAAGCACGTTGAAGCATCGCACCACGTTCTTTTTTACGTTCTTTATCTCCTCCTGTTCCTAGGGAAAGAACGATAAAGCTTTCTATAGTGTCTTTCTAATAGAAAATTTTGCAGGAGTAACTGCAGAATACCCTGCCACTTTGGTCCACCTCATTTATATGTGTCGGGAGGCTTTGAAGATCGAGGCATAACACAATAGACGCTATTCTTATTCAGTGACATGTAAATGAGTAGCAGGGTATTCTACAGTTTAGCCATTTTCTGATCAAGGGATACCCACGTGTTCCAATTTTGTGCGCAAAGCTTACAAGAAGTAGCGTTACTTTAAACTGAACACATAAAAGAAATTTAAATGTTGTTTGTCCAGAGTAAGGACCGACGACAATTTTCACCATATAACGAAAATTCCGCCAAACCCATCCCTAACTGATAGGAGGCTTCAACCCACGCATTAGCACGCTGCTACAATGTCATTTTAAAAACTTTTATATCATAATCTTACCTTACAACAACCAGCAGTGGATCAGAAAGTGTCTAAGTGAGCAAGCGACTAGTCATTGGCCATTTAAATTTACTCTATTTAAAGAAACTGGACTTAAGCTCGAGAGGGTTTCTATAATCGCGAAAATTATCACCATGCTGTTTTCTGTGTGAATTTCGTTTACGCGTTAATTACCTTCGATTGTTGGTACGTTTCATCAGTTATTTTGTGTACTTATGGTGCTGTTTGTACCGTTGCGTAATGTTAAGTAATTACGTCGAGTAATTTATAAGTTTTGTGTATAAATTAATTCATAGGGATCAATGTTTACGTCCACTTTTCAAGAAGCAGCGTTATCGTTTTTCGTTTTTCGCCAATTAAGCTATGCACTGTTATGGTAAATATTTCTCTTTATTGTGAGTTTATTTGTAACTTTCCGTTCTCTAAAATGTATTTTCCTACTCGTGTTTAGTATCGTAGGCGTATTGATGTTTTAAATAAAAAGATGAACACGATTACGCATGACTTCGGTTACAGTTTCAATCATGCAAATTACCCTAAAAGTTCTCAGTTCTCACCTTATACATGAGACTGTGTGACCCAGAACCGTCTATCTCTTGAAGCAGCTTCTCAGGGTAGAGATTTTTCGCAAGGTACTTCATATGACTTGTCGTCTTTGACGTCATGCATGGATGAGGCTTACTACGATCTACCAGAGGAAACCCTTCCCAGACACTGATCTCTCGAGGTGTGGGGATTGGGGCGAAAACGATATCGGTGCTCTTTTTCTGCATTTCAAGGAATTGTCGGATGAATTCCGTAGTCTGTTCGCGTTTCTTGTCAAAAATCTTGCTGACGACTTTCGCTTCAACAGCTTGTTTGAGAGTTGGGAACTTTGACAAGGTCTGTTCGATGGCCCGTTGGACGATATCTCGTAGAGTTGTCTCGACGTTACTGACAAGATTCTCTGACAGGGGCAGTAACTGATCAACTGGACCCTTACGCGTTACAGGTTTACCATTGGCATTGAATCCTTTCATATGTGGAAGAGAACAAATGTCAGCATTGAGGTTTTTTTAAACTGGTGTACAGCCTTCTAATCTCATGGTATCTTGTTGGTTTTCCCAAGAACATTTGATTTCTCATAACAACTCTGTTAAGAGTGGCTTAGTTCTCAAATACCTGTATACTTCTCATACAGAAGCCTCTGCAGCAGCTGACTGTTTTCACTGCTGTCTCCAAGAGGGGCAGCCACACCCTCCAATTTTCTTTTTTGTCTTCGTATTTCATCGTCATTACGCATCGCCAGAGGATTCACCTGTAACAAATTTTATCCAAAATGTTATAATCACTTGCATAGCCACTGCTTTAGTTTAGCGTGTCTCGATGGCTCGTTTTGAAAGGGTCTAGATCATTAATTCCTTTTGCTTTCATAATAAAGACATATTTGGATCTCTAAGAGCATCTTTGTTCATTGAGAGAGCTCGCAAACGCGAATTCGAGGCCTATGATGGTTTTCTCTCTCTGTTTATGTGGTTCACAAAGATGTTTTACTCAAATAATTCAATTTACAGCTTCAAGTTTAATTTGGGGATAATTTGGGATAAAAGAACTATTTAAAGCAGGGATTGGTCTCAGTGCTCTGTACTGCATGTATGCTGACAGTACACCTTAAGCTTTGTGATGGGTCAGAAGATTAACACCGCATGTATGTTTAAAAATATGCAATGAGACCGCTGGAAAATTCAAACAGATTCAGGAAAATACAAGACTAAGTAGAATGAAAAAATTCTGTGACATAGTGTCATGTAAATAAACCCATCGCGACAAAATTTCACAACAATGACAACTCGTTCATAAACAGACATTTAAGACTTTAAGACGAAGCAAGATGTCAAAGACACTCACCTTGAAAACTTCCTGATGAAATGAATTAAACAGATGCCTGACGCGTTCCCCTCCGGCCGTGTCAGAAGTATTGTTGAAAAGAAGAATATTTAACTCTCTAATTAGACTTTCTTTCAGTTTCATGGCCACTCCACCCTTGCCTTCGTTCGACTCTGGTACCTCACTGTCCTCTAGTTCCACAAGTGTTTCATCCACCTTATTGGATCAAAAAGTTGTGATATTGAGACATGACACCAGAAAATATTGCCATTTTCTGTTGCTCACATAATACACACATCATCATTCATCAAGTGGTTACGGATCTAGGGGCGATTATAAAAAATACTAAATATAATGGAGAAAAACGAGTGCTGGCAATGATAAAATAATCATTACTTGTAAGCGACTTTCTTACCTCTTTTTTTCGCTTCTTCATTAGTGTCACCAGAATAGGAATCTCTGTGATCATCTTCTCAGCCAGTAAAGAGATCATAGTGTCCATGAGTCGATCAATTCCACAGACATGTTGAATGTCCTTGTACTGAGGATGCCGCGCAAACCATTCTTTTTCATGGACACGTGTCGTTTCAGCGTCCCAGTCCTTCTCAGCTGGATCTGTGCCATCTTTCCCTTAATGTTATATTGAAAAGAAAGCCGAAGGCTATAGGCTATTTTTCCTATAACATTCCTAGATGTTTTCAAATTAAATTAGACCTGAATTACACCAAATACATTCCTGTTCAATGGTTCAAGTTTTCCCGCTCTCTTTACGTGTAGAAAGAAATCATGTATTTCTTTCGTTTTTGACTCACTCCACGCAGGGATTGGTTACAAAAAAAATATGGAGCCACACCCTCGATCAATCAGATGCCAGACTATACCAATCGTAACTCCTTGGTTTGTGTTTACGTGTTTACCCTTGTTCTTATTGCAGCGTTTTCATAAAAGCCAGTTAAAACTGGCGGTTTTACTCCCCTCCCCTTGTTCAGCCTGCGATCGAGCTCTCGTGTCTGGGTTTCATCTTACAGCACAGCCGCCCATCACACCATCGCCGCTTATGGAAAGATTACTCCAAACCCTGCATTAGCTCTGATAGCCTCTGATATATCCCTTACTATCACTAAGCGATGTGACTACTTAAGCTATGCTTTTGCGACCCTCAGTAAAGGAACCTAACTACTGGTGTAAGCTAAGCTATCGACGCATTTCAAAGTTAAACTCACTGAACAATCATATTTTACCTCGCAGTACAATAAATCGGTTATCATCCAGTGTGAAGCTCGATCCATTCATGGCCACCCTTTTCCCCATGTCATCGGATTCTCTCAACTTATCTGGCTTGGTTAGCGCACAGATTGTGCGGCTCCTAAAATCTGGGGCCTTTTGCATGACAAGGTTTATTGCACTGTCACCTGTGGGGTCCCCTACTTCAGACACTATGACAATAATGCTGTTAGTGTTTTTCTCGATGTATTCCAAAACTACATCTTGAGTGACGAGGTTCATCCGTAGATCGTCATTGGCAAAATGAGCGCCGGGAAGGTCGACCAAGGTAAGAGTCGTGAATTCAGGGCCTGAGGAAGAGGAAAGAGCACGAAGTAGAAATTACAGTTCAAGATAAGTTAAATTTCAGAATGAACTTGGAACTTCTATAAAGTTGAATGAAGAATTTGAAAGACTGGCAGGGATAAAAGGACCTTTAAATGATTTCGATATGTGAAATCTGAATTCTAGTTAAAATAATATATATCACCTTGCAGAGTAACATTAACAGGGGTTTTCGAAATTGGAGTTCCCTCTTCCTTCGGTAAATGTGCTGTGACTTGGTTAAGAAATGTCTCCACGGCATCATCCTTGGGATTTTCCTCGGCTTCCCTTAGACCCAGTAGATCGCATTTCACCTCCACGAGGCTCTTCTCGCCGTTTCTTAGGTTGAGTATTATGGGATATGTAGTGCGGGCTTGTAAGGTGTTTGCGGTTTCATTGCGGCGCATTGGGAGAAGATATCGCCCGATCAGACGGTTTATCAGAGTGGTTTTTGCCATGTTTTGCCGACCGACCATGACCAGATGTGGAATGTTGAAGGCTTGGCGCAAAGTATCGTCACTTATCATAGTTTGAATAAAGTCAAGAACGACGCCAAATTCACTACTTCGGTCATATTTCGCAACAGGTGTTGCGATGACTTCACCAGACATAGTTTACTATCTGCAATGATGAAACAGACAATTGAGGGGTCAGTCCTTATTTATCCCCGGGCGGTAGGGGGGAAGGGAATCTTTCATGGGGTCACATTTTTTTTCAAGGGGCAGAGATAAAGATCAGTGTCACCAAAGAGTTTAAAGAGGGACTGTGGAAAATTGACCGCCAATTAACTGCTAATGAGTGGGGGAGGGGACATTATCATAGCACAGGGTCTTATGGAGGATCAGGTAAACGTTTTTTTATTGTTTCATATTTTTTTTTTTTAAACCACAAAGGGGAGTAATGTCGAAGCCTGATTGGCCAATTTGCTGTTGTCGCGTCAACGTGTCACGCAATGGCCACGAACTGAAAGAATCGTTTTGTTTGACGTTGATGCCGAGGTAAAAAACAAATTGTTCACTTGTGAGTCCACAACAGTTTGACCACTGTGACGACGAATATTATAATGTATTATTAGGCAACCCTTGTGGTAAAATCTCCAGACTACTTTAAATAAAGTCATAGATTTAAGGTTTGGTTTTCGACAACGAAAACCAATGTAAATAAATTGTGCTATCGAGCAACAGAAAAATTTGTTAAAAAAATCCGACCTGTGAGCTTCCGTATTTTTAGTTCATGACATACAAGAAATGTGTTCAGGAAAACTCACCACCTGACTCGTGAATTTCGCGTTAACTTGCGCCAGAAAACCGATATCGCACGAATCGCGAAAAAAAGAAAACAGAAATAATATTTGTTGTTTTTATCGTGAGCGTGCGCCCCAGAAACCATTTCAAAGTCAACTGTCAGAACTGTCATTGTGTTAGCGAATAGGAAGAAAGATCAGTCGTGCACGTTTGATTCTTCGACAATTAAGAGAGTGTCTCTGTAAGAGCGGTCCGGTCGATTTTGCTTGAGACA